GAAGGGAACTCTGTACAGAAAGAAAGAAATCTCAGGCGATGCTCCAACAGTTAGAAGCTTGTCGCTTTTGAAAGTTTTACCAATCAATATTGTCAAAGCGATTATGAAACGAAACAACGGGTGGCAAAAAACTCAGTTGGGAAGTTGAAAACGGTAGATGAGCTGAAAGTGCTAAATAGTGATGAAGCATCTATCGCACGTATATTAAATATTTTGCGTTATATTGCCTATTACCAGAAGAGGTGTGTACGTACAGAAAACAAAACGATCAGAATTAACGGACCTCCGCTCTTGATAGGCCAGCGATGATGGGCGATCCGGCAGGACACCTGCCTTCACGCGCCACCATTCATCCATTTGTTATGACGTCTTCCTGGGCTGAAGGTTGTTCTATGAATAAACATAGTCACGAAACTGATTAATTAAAATATTGTTTCAACACATTTCTGCCTTCTTTCGACGACCAGATGGTATTCTTCTTCGCGTCTGTTTTTGCTGTTATTCTCGTTGTATGAGGAAGCTCCTATATTTTAATATAGTGTGGGGAAGGGAGACTATGCAGCCTTCAGCTATCCAGGATAGTTGCTCGAAGCAGTAGTCTATAAATATCTCGGACTATTCAGGCGACTTGGTGAGAGGTTCTCCTTTTATTCCCCTCAAACATTTTTAAAATTATTCCCATCCAGCCTCTCGAGCTATTTTGGTAAGTCACGTAAAACATGAAAACTGTTAAGCATATGAAAAAATAATTTCTCCGTCGTGTTCGGCAAAATTCGAGAATGCCACATTTTTATAACACGGAAATAGGTATCCCGGACTGCGGAGGTAGGTCAGAGTTAACTCTACATGTAATTACGTTCAATTTTATGTCATGCATAATCACGATTTCGAGAGCTAAATATTTTAGGGGGTCGTTTTATTGAGACTTTCCTTGCGAACGAGAATTTACATGTAACGGGAGGAGTAATTCTTAAAAGAGCTACAGTGTGTTATGGATATTTCAGAAAAAAAGGGAGATTCCAGTTATAAATATTTCGCTATTCTATTCGGCATTTTCAGTATTCTTATCATCAGAGCAAAAGGAAGCACGAGGAAGGACAATCATCTTTTCTGAATTTTTGGCGCCCCAACAGAACTTGTCGTCACCTCGAACAAAAGATTGACCAATCAAAGGCGAGGAAAGAAACAAGCCACATCCCCCGTAAAGACATCGTAAATGTAGCCGACGTATGAGGGTGGATTACTCGTGAGTTTCAGCCGATTAGAGTGTGACCTTTGAGGCGAAGAAGGCAAAACATTTCCTCGCGTGTTCGGTAATATTCTCATAATCACAAGTNCAGGATAGTTGCTCGAAGCAGTAGTCTATAAATATCTCGGACTATTCAGACGACTTGGTGAGAGGTTCTCCTTTTATTCCCCTCAAACATTTTAAAATTATTCCCATCCAGCCTCTCGAACTATTTTGGTAAGTCACGTAAAACATGAAAACTGTTAAACAAATGAAAAAATAATTTCTCCGTCGTGTTCGGCAAAATTCGTGAATGCCACATTTTTATAACACGGAAATAGGTATCCCGGACTGCGGAGGCACGTGAGAGTTAACACCACATGTAATTACGTT